CTTCACTAACAATGATGATCTGATAAGAAATGTCACCATATCAAAAACAATATACTCAGATCACAACATAATTGAGGTTCAGACATGTATGCGTGGCCCCAGACCGACATAATGAGACTAGTCACGAGGGAGCATTCACCAAATTCAACTTCAATAACAAAAACATAAAGTGGGACCAAGTAAACCAAGTCCTATCCGATATAAGCTGGGAAGATATACTAAGCAACACAGACCCCAACGTATGCCTAGAACAGATTAACTTGGTGGTACTCGATGTATGCACAAGGCTTATTCCTCTAAGAAAAAGGATGAGTAGATGTAAAATAGAAAGAGACAGGCGCTCCCTTTACAGGCGACGGAAAAGAATAACAGAGCGGCTAAAAGAGGTCAATATATCTGAAATGCGTAGGGAGACACTGGTCAGAGAAATAGCAAGCATCGAACTCAAGCTAAAGGAATCTTATAGGAGTCAGGAATCGCCATAAATGAAATCGAAAGAAACCCAAAGTATTTCTTCTATGCCAAATCAAAGTCGAGAACAACATCCAGTATTGGGCCCCTACTTAAACAAGATGGGTCCTACACAGATGACAGCAAGGAAATGAGTGAGCTACTCAAGTCCCAATATGACTCAGTTTTTAGCAAGCCGCTAACCGACTGAGAGTCGAAGATCAAAACGAATTTTTTATGAGAGAGCCACAAAATTTGGTTAACACAAGCCTATCCGATGTTATCCTGACGTCAAATGACTTCGAACAGGCGATAAATGATATGCCCATGCACTCTGCCCCAGGGCCAGACTCATGGAACTCCGTGTTCATCAAGAACTGCAAGAAGCCCCTATCACGAGCCTTTTCCATCCTATGGAGAGGGAGCATGGACACGGGGGTCGTCCCACAGTTACTAAAAACAACAGACGTAGCCCCACTCCACAAAGGGGGCAGTAAAGCAACAGCAAAGAACTACAGACCGATAGCACTAACATCCCATATCATAAAAATCTTTGAAAGGGTCCTAAGAAGCAAGATCACCACCCATCTAGAAACCCATCAGTTACACAACCCAGGGCAACATGGGTTTAGAACAGGTCGCTCCTGTCTGTCTCAACTATTGGATCACTACGACAAGGTCCTAAATGCACTAGAAGATAAAAAAGAATGCAGATGTAATATATACAGACTTTGCAAAAGCCTTCGACAAATGTGACCATGGCGTAATAGCGCACAAAATGCGTGCTAAAGGGATAACAGGAAAAGTCGGTCGATGGATCTATAATTTCCTCACTAACAGAACACAGAGAGTAGTCAACAGAGTAAAGTCCGAGGCAGCTACGGTGAAAAGCTCTGTTCCACAAGGCACAGTACTCGCTCCCATCTTGTTCCTCTTTCCTCATATCCGACATAGACAAGGATGTCAGCCACAGCACCGTGTCTTCCTTTGCAGATGACGACCCGAATCTGCTGACAGTGTCTTCCATTGCAACACTGCAAGGCTCCAGGCGGACATCAACCGAATCTTTCAGTGGGCTGCAGAAAACAATATGAAGTTCAACGATGAGAAATTTCAATTACTCAGATATGGTAAACAACAGGAAATTAAATCTTCATCAGAGTACAAAACAAATTCTGGCCACAAAATAGAGCGAAACACCAACGTCAAAGACCTGGGAGTGATCATGTCGGAGGATCTCACCTTCAAGGACCATAACATTGTATCAATCGCATCTGCTAGAAAAAATGACAGGATGGATAATGAGAACCTTCAAAACTAGGGAGGCCAAGCCCATTATGACACTCTTCAGGTCACTTGTTCTATCTAGGCTGGAATATTGCTGCACACTAACAGCACCTTTCAAGGCAGGTGAAATTGCTGACCTAGAAAATGTACAGAGAACCTTCACGGCGCGCATAACGGAGATAAAACACCTCAATTACTGGGAGCGCTTGAGGTTCCTGAACCTGTATTCCCTGGAACGCAGGCGGGAGAGATACATGATTATATACACCTGGAAAATCCTAGAGGGACTAGTACCGAACTTGCACACGAAAATCACTCACTACGAAAGCAAAAGACTTGGTAGACGATGCAACATCCCCAATGAAAAGCAGGGGTGTCACTAGCACGTTAAGAGACCATACAATATGTGTCAGGGGCCCGAGACTGTTCAACTGCCTCCCAGCATACATAAGGGGGATTACCAACAGACCCCTGGCAGTCTTCAAGCTGGCACTGGACAAGCACCTAAAGTCGGTTCCTGACCAGCCGGGTTGTGGCTCGTACGTTGGTTTGCGTGCAGCCAGCAGCAACAGCCTGGTTGATCAGGCTCTGATCCACCAGGAGGCCTGGTCACAGACCGGGCCGCGGGGGCGTTGACCCCCGGAACTCTCTCCAGGTAAACTCCAGGTAAACTGCCTCTGACTGCAAGATGTCTGAGCACTACTTCTGACTGCTAGATACCTGAACACTACCTCTTACTACCAGATACCTGAACACTACCTCTTACTGCCAGATGTCTGAAAACTACCTTTGGCTGCCATATGTCTGAACACAGCCTATGACTGTCATATGTCTGAACACTACCTCTGATTGCCAGATATCTGAACACTACCTCTGGCTGCCAGATATCTGAACACTACCTCTGGCTGCCTGATATCTGAACACTACCTCTGACTGCCATATGTCTGAACACTGCATGTGACTGTCATATGTCTGAACACTACCTCTGCCACATGTCTGAACACTGCATGTGACTGTCATATGTCTGAACACTACCTCTGGTTGCCAGATGTCTGAACACTACCTCTGGTTGCCAGATGTCTGAACACTACCTCTGGTTGCCAGATGTCTGAACACTACCTCTGGATGCCAGATGTCTGAACACCACCTCTGGTTGCCAGATGTCTGAACACTACCTCTGGATGCCAGATGTCTGAACACTACCTCTGGTTGCCAGATGTCTGAACACTACCTCTGGTTGCCAGATGTCTGAACACTACCTCTGGCTGCCAGATGTCTGAACACTACCCCTGACTGCAAGATGTCTGAACACTACCTCTGACTGCAAGATGTCTGAACACTACCTCTGGCTTCCAGATGTCTGAACACTACCTCTGACTGCAAGATGTCTGAACACTACCTCTGACTGCAAGATGTCTGAACACTACCTCTGACTGCAAGATGTCTGAACACTACCTCTGACTGCAAGATGTCTCAACACTACCTCTGGCTTCCAGATGTCTGAACACTACCTCTGACTGCCAGATATCTGAACACTACCTCTGGCTGCCAGATGTCTGAACACTTCCTCTGACTGCCACATGTCTGAACACTACCTCTGGCTGCCAGATGTCTGAACACTTCCTCTGACTGCCACATGTCTGAACACTACGTCTGACTGCAAGATGTCTGAACACTACCTCTGACTGCCAGATACCTGAACACTACCTCTTACTGCCAGATGTCTGAAAACTACCTTTGGCTGCCATATGTCTGAACACAGCCTGTGACTGTCATGTCTGAACACTACCTCTGATTGCCAGATATCTGAACACTACCTCTGGCTGCCACATCTCTGAACACTACCTCTGGCTGCCACATGTCTGAACACTACCTCTGACTGCCAGATGTCGGAACACTACCTCTGGCTGCCACATGTCTGAACACTACCTCTGGCTGCCACATCTCTGAACACTACCTCTGGCTGCCACATGTCTGAACACTACCTCTGCCTCATCTCTGAACACTACCTCTGGCTGCCACATGTCTGAACACTACCTCTGGCTGCCACATGTCTGAACACTACCTCTGGCTGCCACATGTCTGAACACTACCTCTGGCTGCCACATGTCTGAACACTACCTCTGGCTGCCAGATATCTGAACACTACCTCTGACTGCCGCATGTCTGAACACTACCTCTGGCTGCCACATGTCTGAACACTACCTCTGGCTGCCAGATATCTGAACACTACCTCTGGCTGCCACATGTCTGAACACTACCTCTGGCTGCCACATGTCTGAACACTACCTCTGACTGCCGCATGTCTGAACACTACCTCTGGCTGCCACATGTCTGAACACTACCTCTGGCTGCCACATGTCTGAACACTACCTCTGGCTGCCGCATGTCTGAACACTACCTTTGACTGCCACATGTCTGAACACTACCTCTGGCTGCCACATGTCCGAACACTACCTCTGACTGCCACATGTCTGAACACTACCTCTGGCTGCCACATGTCCGAACACTACCTCTGGCTGCCACATGTCCGAACACTACCTCTGGCTGCCACATGTCTGAACACTACCTCTGGCTGCCGCATGTCCGAACACTACCTCTGGCTGCCACATGTCTGAACACTACCTCTGGCTGCCACATGTCGGAACACTACCTCTGGCTGCCACATGTCTGAACACTACCTCTGGCAGCCACATGTCCGAACACTACCTCTGGCTGCCACATGTCTGAACACTACCTCTGGCTGCCACATGTCTGAACACTACCTCTGACTGCCACATGTCTGAACACTACCTCTGGCTGCCACATGTCTGAACACTACCTCTGGCTGCCACATGTCTGAACACTACCTCTGGCTGCCACATATCTGAACACTACCTCTTGCTGCCACATGTCTGAACACTACCTCTGGCTGCCACATGTCTGAACACTACCTCTGGCTGCCACATGTCTGAACACTACCTCTGGCTGCCACATGTCTGAACACTACCTCTGACTGCCACATGTCTGAACACTACCTCTGGCTGCCACATGTCTGAACACTACCTCTGGCTGCCACATGTCTGAACACTACCTCTGGCTGCCAGACAGTTATCGAAATTAATAAAAAATCAAATGCACATATATGACACTTTTATAGCTTTGAAAGTGTATTGAATATTATTTACTTTTATACTATTGTAATTGCAATGGTTAATACACTCTTTTGTGTGTGCTATACTTTTTATTTATTAGTAGTAAAATAGTTGTTTTTCTTGTTACAGGTGTGGTGGTGGGCAGTGTTGATGGGCGGGCGTGGGCGGGAGCAGCGCCCCCCGCGGCACCATGTGTGAGTGTGGCTCCACGGAGCACACCCCCGGCCCGGCCCGCAGGCCCGCGCGGGCGGACCAGCACACGGGCCACTCCGCGGGCCACCCACAACCCAGCAGAGCAGGGATGGACACCTCTTGTGGCCAGGGAGTGGTGGTGAGTGTTCTAGTCTTACTGGTGGTGTGTGTTGAGTGTGGCGTGGCGGGACACCGGACTCACCGGGCCGCCACTGACGTCGACCACCACACTAGCAGTATAGTGGCACAGTTCTGGACAGCCAACCAGAGTTTGCAACTACAGCACATGGTGTACAACAGAGACGCGGGAGTGCTCTATGTAGGGGGAACGAACAGACTGTGGGCCCTTGAAACCGGCACCCTTAATCTGGAGGCGCGGGTGGAGACGGGGCCAAGGTTTGACTCTCCCTGGTGCCACGCCTCTGGCTGTGACTTAGACAATCGCATGAAGAGAGTCCTTACTGACAACGTCAATAAAGTGCTCGTACTTGACCCCGACGCCTCCACGCTCATTATGTGTGGTTCTGTGTCTCAAGGAGCTTGTGAAAAGTTCCGTACTGCTAACCTATCCCTCACACCAGAGTTCCTACCCCGCTCCGTGGCTGCCAACGACCCTGAATCCTCAACTTTTGCCTTCGTGGGCCCCGAGCATTACAACCAATGGGGCGGATCATCCGCTCTCTATGTAGGGACCACCTTCACTACTGTTGGAGACTATCGCCATGACGTCCCCGCTGTCTCCACCAGGAACCTCTATGACTTGGACTATGCTGAGTTCTCATTTTCAAAACAGTCTCTTCTTCGTATCGACGTGAAATATCGTGACCACTTCCTAGTGCAGTACGTGTACGGCTTCAACGCCAGTGATTACGCCTATTTCGTGACGGTTCAGAAGAGGTCTCATCTGCCGGGGCAGGAGGAGTCTGGATACATTTCTCGTCTGGCCCGTACCTGCATCACTGACGCTAACTACGACTCCTATACTGAGATTACACTAGACTGCCAAGGCAGCGATGGCACCAGCTACAACCTAGTGCAGGATGCTAAGTTGGTCAGCTCCGGCAGTGATCTCGCCATCAACATGGGCATAGGCGTTGGAGAGCCTATCTTGATAGCCGTCTTCGCCCCTTCCCAGGGGCACACTGCCAGCCCCAAGAAGGCCTCGGCCGTTTGCGTCTATTCGGTGCATGACATCGAAGCTAAGTTCAATGAAAACATCCATATGTGCTTCAACGGGTCCATGCAGTACCGCAGTATGGAGTACATCTCTGGCCCCATTCTCAACGGAAAGTGTCCTGCTGCTGGGGTAAGTACCAAACAGATTCATATGTTTAGTAGCAGTAGCTGGAAACTGGTGCATGTGAGCCACTGTGTTGTGAATCCTTCTTGATATCTTCTTACCCATACTTTACCTCTGAATGTTTTATAATTTTTTCTTGCCAGGATTTCCTAGTAACAGCTTGATTTGCCATATTCAATACCACACAGTAAAATGTCTTTTCTACGTGAATTGTGAATATACAAGGTGTCCCAAAATGCCTTTGCCCTTGTACTCGCTGGGCTGTGGTACTTAGGTTGGACACTGTGCAGCTAGAACGAGCAACTGCACTGAGCTGGCCACCCATGTCTGATCTGTTTCATGGCCGTGAGAGCAATAAAGCTGAAAATTAAAATAGGCATACAAGTAGTGTACATATGTAAGGCACTATCACGCGCAGTAACAGAAATTTGTCTTCAGAATTTTGAACCCAACCGTGAAAGATCCAAAGCTTCGTGGATAATTTTTTGCGGCGTCTGAAATCGATAAAGAGTGAGCCACAGGCTTAATGACTCGTCTTGACGTTAACCAGACACTGATAGGAAAGTCTCGCCGCCATGCCTCGTTGACCCGGAAAGAAACCTTTCCCCGGCGGCCTCTACGAGCTGAGATGTAACAAGACCTCTAATTTCTCGCTTTTTTTTTTAACCCCCTCGACATACACTTGCGTTGAAATAAGGTAAGTTTGTCTGTGAGGGGTTACCTATGCTCGACTTCAATGGTTCTACCCAAACAGTTCAGCAGCGGCTGTCTCAAAAACTGCCTATTACTGACGCTTCTCCCAGACGATGTTTAACGTGACAAGGGCTGAAATTAAGTTCACAGTGACAGTGTAACAACGTTTGATGGTTATTTCCCCTCCCACTACTAGTCGGGTGTATCGGGAGTTTACCAAGAGTTACACCCTACCTGTGTAAGACGGAAGAGTATCTTCCACTACTCACACACTATTACAAGTTATCAAACCTATCATACAGTATTATAAGAATGATAAATGAAGATATAATATGGTTTGCTACAGTAAATGGCCTGAACATCACCTCCGCTGTCAGGTAGTAATGGGTATTCATGGTTACATTAACAATCCTAACCTTAAACATTAGTAATCACTTGCAAAACTAAGAAACAAAATAATTCACACATATACGTTACAGTAAGTGTGGCTTTATTGTTAACTGGACTTTACAAAGGTGCTATTAAGTGGCTAGTGTGAGTGTGGAAATAGTTGAACATTACAAAGGTATTGTTAGGTGGCTATTCTAATAACCGGGCGCTACAAAGGTGAGGTATTAAGTGGTCATTATGGCTGTAATGACCACTGGATGCTACATATTATTGTTTTTTATTACTACTGTTTATATAAAACGCTAAACCCACGCGGGTCACTTAGCACAAGGCGTGGTGGAGGCTCCTGGCTGCTACGCACAAGCTGTCAAGGAAAAAAAATAAACATGGCCGTGGAGTGGATCTTGATGGAATGCTGTTAGGTGATAATATATGAAACTGAGAATAGAAGTTTTCAAGAAGCTGGACACCTTCCTACCACAAGTGCCGGATCAGCCAGGTTGTGTTGGATACATTGGCCTTTGAACCACTAGTACTAATAGCTTAGTTGACCAAGCGGTCAGCAGGGATGCCAGGCCGCGAGGATAGAAGAGCCCTCGAAACCGATCACAGGTTTGTCACATACATGTCACATCTGCGTCCCGTCTGTACCTGAAGTGCCTTGTGTTAGTTGCCAACAGATAAGGCGATATAAGGAACGTTGGGAGGTGTCGTAAGGGTGGAATCATCCGGGTTCTCCCAGACAGTACACTTGTGGGTTACGCCTCCGTCACCGCCGCCCAGGCCATCTGTGTTGATATTGTTGTAACGTCTTTCACTCTCTCTCTCTCTCTCTCTCTCTCTCTCTCTCTCTCTCTCTCTCTCTTTGTTATTGTTGATTTGGCAGAGTAGCACAGGAATGGTCTCATCCGGTACACGCTTTTTTCCCTTCTGTTTTTGCTCAACTCTGGCTTTATATTACGCTTTACGCTCCACTGCGCTGCAATGACTTTGTTTTGATAGCCAACATGCAGAGCTCATCCTTATGAGTGAATGACAAACCTCATTAATTTTCCTGTTTATTTGAGTTGTGGATGAGATCTGTGGCGGAGGATCAAAGACCCACAGATGCTGACTGGCTCATAAAGAGCAAAGGCACAAAAAATGGCGTCGTTTATACAGCAAGTTTTATATCGTGTCAGATGATCTACCTGCGTGTATGAAACGAACGCATGCACAAAGTGACACACACACATACACACACTAACTCACATTAACAGGCCAAGTGTCTATCGACAAGTGCCTTTGACAGCTGGTACCTAACACACACACACACAAAACACACACACACACACACACACACACACACACACACACACACACACACACACACTAACTCACATTAACAGGCCAAGTGTCTATCGACAAGTGCCTTTGACAGCTGGTACCTAACACACACACACACACACACACACACACACACACACACACACACACACACACACACACACACACACACACACCAGGAGCTCAGTCTCGACCCCTGCAACCACAATTAGGTGAGTACACACACACACACTAACACACGCCGAACAGGCCAAGTGTCTTATCGACAAGTGTCTGACAAAATGGTAAGTAATAGACACAAAGAACATTGGCAGTTGTGATGAGGGAAGCTGATTTTTTGTTAAGCTGACTGATATCCGTCATCCATCTCCCAGTGCTGGGAGATAGAGGGACTAAACTAGTGAAGATTGCGATCAGTCATGAAATAAGTTGGTATGTAGCCCAGGAACGTTAGGAAAAAATAATGATCCATATGAAGTAATTAGATAATCGGTGATAAATTTAATGTATTGAGAACAATATGTTTCAAGTCCCATGGAGTCCCAGGCCGGTGTTAACCGCCATCGTAAAAAAAAAGTAGATACCTGGTTACCTGGAGGTTATTCCGGGGATTAACGCCCCCCCGGCCCGGTCCATGCCCAGGCCTCCCGATGGATCAGGGCCTGATCAACTAGAATGTTACTGCTGGCCGCACGCAGTCCAACGTACGAGCCACAGCCCGGCTGATCCGGCACTGACTTTAGGTATCAGTCCAGCTCTCTCTTGAAGGCAGCCAGGGGCTTATTGGCAATTCCCCTAATGCTTGATGGGAGGCTGTTGAACAGTTTTGGGCCCCGGACACTTATGGTGTTTTCCCTTAGTGTACCAATGGCGCCCCTACTTTTTATTGGGGGCATTTTGCATCGCCTGCCCAGTCTTTTACTTTCGTAGGGAGTGATTTCTGTGTGCAGATTTGGGACCATTCCTTCCAAGATTTTCCAAGTGTAGATTATGATATATCTCTCCCTCCTGCGTTCCAACGAGTACAAGTCAAGTGCTTCCAAGCATTCCCAGTAGTTAAGGTGCTTGACAGAACTTATACGTGCAGTAAAGGATCTCTGTACTCTCTCTAGATCTGCGATTTCACCTGTTTTGAATGGAGATGTTAATGTACAGCAGTATTCCAGCCTAGAGAGAACAAGTGATTTGAAAAGGATCATCATTGGCTTGGCATCTTTCGTTTTGAAAGTTCTCATTATCCATCCTATCATTTTCTTCGCACGTGCGATCGTGGCACTGTTGTGATCCTTGAAAGCGAGATCCTCAGATATTACTACTCCCTGGTCCCTTACATTACTTTTCCGCTCTATTGTATGGCCGGAGTCAGTAGTATATTCTGTCTAATTATTATCTCCAGTTTTCCATAACGGAGTAGTTGGAATTTGTCCTCATTGAACATCATATTGTTTACCGTTGCCCACTGGAAAACTTTGTTTATATCTTCTTGGAGGTTAACCTCGTCTTCAGCAGATGACAGCCTCATGCATATCCTAGTATCATCCGCAAAGGATGATACGGTGCTGTGGTGTATATCTCTGTCTAGTCTGATATGAGGATAAGGAATAAGATGGGGGCGAGTACTGTGCCTTGTGGAACAGAGCTCTTCACTATGGCAGCCTCCGATTTAACTCTGTTGACCACTACTCTTTGTATTCGATTTGTTAGGAAGTTGAAGATCCATCTCCCCACTTTCCCAGTTATTCCTTTAGCACGTATTTTATGGGCTATTACGCCATGATCGCTTTTGTCAAATGCTTTTGCAAAGTCTGTGTATATTACATCTGCATTCTGATTTTCTTCCAGTGCATCCAAAGCCATGTCATAGTGATCCAGTAGTTGTGAGAGGCAGGAGCGACCTGCCCTAAACCCATGTTGCCCTGGATTGTGCAGATTTGGGAATCCAGGTGATTTGCAATCCTGCTTCTTAGCACTCTTTCAAAGATTTTTATGATGTGGGACGTCAGAGCTATTGGCCTATAGTTCTTAGCTAATGTTTTGCTGCCACCTTTATGGAGTGGGGCTATATCCGTTGTTTTAAGTGACTGTGGAATTTCACCCATGTCCAAGCTCCTCCTCCATAGTGTACTTAGGGCACGCGAGAGGGGTTTCTTGCAGTTCTTAATGAAACAGAATTCCACGAGTCTGGGCCCGGGCTGATTGCATAGGCATGTTGTCAATGGCTTTTTTCGAAATCTGTCGGAGTTAGGTAATGTCGGAAATCTGGCATACATTTATGGAGTTTTGAGGCTCCATTCATGAACAAATCATTTGGGTCGTCGATCCTCAGACCGATTAGTGGTTCACTAAACACAGAGTCGTACTGGATTTCAATATTTCACTCATTTCCTTGTTGTCATCTGTGTAAGTCCCATCCTGTCTGAGTAAGGGCCTGATACTAGATGTGGTATTTGCCTTGTTTTTGGCATATGAAAAGAAATATTTTGAATTTCTTTCAATTTCACTAATAGCTTTAAGCTCCTCCTGCCTCTCCTGGTTCCTGTAAAAGTCATTTAACTTAAGTTCGATAGTTTCCACTTCCCTGGTCAGCGCCTCCTTTC